AGTGTAGCACATCGCATGGTGGGTGTGCTAGGTTGGATCCTCTGAAAGGCAGGCGCCAAGATAGAATTTTAGGTGTTCGAGAGATTTACGGAGGAAAATGCCCGAGAAGGATGAAGGGGGAGACTTAGAAGTAAGCAGGAGGAGTGTCAGACCAGGATGCACCTCAGAGTGTACAAGGAAACGGGAAGGAAGGACAGGAGGTGGGGAACACTCCCTTTGATGGGGCGGCCTTGAGAAGGTCTTAGCCAGGCAGAATCCTGTGCTGGGCAGAATAGCCACCGTTCCTGGCCCCGTTACGCTCAGCACTGGCTGGAGCTGAGTGAACACGGTGGATCCAAAAGAATGGTAGCTGGTAATCAAGTCTACTCCCCATGGCAGCTTCTCTTAAAGCAGCTGGCAGTAACACGTGTCCATGGTTGCTAGTTTTCTACCAGTTGCCAGTGGCTAAGCCAAGAAGGCATTATGGTTCCGCCCTCCTCCACAAAGTGGCAATGACAGTACTACACTCCGTGACAGCTGTGAGGGTCAACGAATGATGCATGATTGTAGGCAGCCTCAGAGTTGAGCGAGATGCTTAGTCTCAGCCCACTCTCCTTGGCTTTGTGATCTTGGCCAGTGACTCTCCAGGGCTTAGAATGGTGCCTGGCACGCAGGCAGCACTGTGTAGTGTTGGCTATTTATGTCATTATTTCTAAATAATAGTATTAGATTACTTCTGCAAATGTCACTCTATAGAATGGTGTCCCAGGACCCCTTCAAGATCCAATTCTTCAGTTTTCTTCCTCAATGCACACACCCTCTATCTCTCTCTTTCTCTCTTCCAAGCTCTAGCTTAGTCAGTCACTCACAGCAGCCTTGAAAATGTTACAATTGTAACTAGACTGGTGGCTCACGCCTGTAATCCTAGCTACTCAGGAGGCAGAAATCAGGAGGATCGCAGTTCAAAGCCCGATAAATAGTACCTGAGACCCTATCTTGAAAAAATCCATCACAAATAAGGGCTGGTGCCATGGCTCAAGTGGTACATTGCCTGTCTAGCAAGCATGAGGTCCTCAGTTTAAACCCCAGTGCCACCAAAAAGAAAAAGAAAGAAAATGTCATATTGCAATAGTACAGTATTAGCTCCTGCTGAGCATGATGGTGCACACCTGTAGTCCCAGGTATTCCTGTAATTCCAGGATTTGGGAGACTGAGGCAGGATGGACAGTTCAAGGACAGTTTGGGCAACATATCAAAAGACTGTCTCAAAAAAAAAAAAGATCAGACTAAATGCTTATTGTGCACCTGGTACTGTGCAAAGCGTACACGTTCACATGCATTATATCATTTGTTTTATTGATGAGGAAACTGAGGTGAAGGCCTGTGGAAATGAGTCGCAGAGCTAATAAATGGCCGGTTCACCTCTGGGCTTCCGTTTGCAGAATTCTCTGGCTGCCTCCATTCCATTTCTACCTTCTAAAACACTGTCTGCTATTTATTATTTTATTTTCTTCAAACTTATTATTTTGTTTTGTTTGTTTTTGGTCCTGGGGATCAAACCCAGGGCCCTGTGAATGCCTGACACACACACGCTCTCCCACAGAACTACAACCCCAGCACCATCTTCCTGAGGAAGCCTCCCGGATCCTCACCTATAGTACAGGTGATCTCTCCCTTTTGCCTGAGGCTCCTGTCTGTGACACTTGACCCCTTAGGCCTTAGGATGTAATAATTGATCCAGGTGTCACCTAGAGATGGTGACCACCTCTAGGGAGTCCAGCCTGAGCTCCTCCAGCAGGAGGACCACAGTTAAAAATCTCCTCATTCATACCCTTTTGAACTCAGGGCCTCATGCTTGTTAGGCAAGCGTCCAGCTCTTTTTTTATGATGGGTTTTTTTGAGATAGGGTCTGCCTGGGGCTGGCTTCAAACTGAGATCCTCCTGATCTCTGCATCCTGAGTAGCTGGGCTTACAGACGGGAGCTACCAGTGCTGGCTCATTCACACTCTTGACCTCCACAGATGATGGGTTTTCTAGGTCACTTCCAGCTTTTAGTAGCTTGGTCCTTGATTATGCTACACATTTAGTCCTAATTTTAGATCGGAAAACGATGTTGACACATAGTAGGTGGTTTATTCTTAGCATTTTCTGAATAACTGTGCAGGCCAACTATAAAGGCAGGAGGTCAGGTAGATTCAGGGGCTGGGCACCAGTGGCTCACGCCTGTAATCCTAGCTATTCAGGAGGCAGAGATCAGAAGCTCAAAGCTAGCCCCCGGCAAATATAGTTTGGGAGACCCTATCTCAAAAAAAAGACCGTCATAAAAAAGGTCTGGTGGAGTGGCTCAAGATGTAGGCCCTGAGTTCAAACCTCAGTACTGTAAAAAAAAAAAAGTAGATGCATGGGTCTCCCTGTGGGGAGTACAGTAAGGAAAGAACATCGCTCTAGTGATGCAGTTAGCCCTTTTCATTTTCTATTGTTGGCAGCACTGAGGTTTGAACTCAGGGCCTCATGTTTTCTAGGCAGGTGTTCTACCATTTGAGCCATGCCCCACCTCAGGCCCCTTTTCTTTTCTTTCTTTTCTTTTGGGGACTGGGGTTTGAACTCAGGGCTTCACAATTGCAAAGCAGGCACTCTACTGCTTGAGCCACACCTCCAGCCCACTTTGCTCTGGTTTTGGAGATGGGTTCTCTCAAATTATTTGTCCGGGCCAGCCTGCAGTGATCCTCCCAAGTGCCAAGAATTACAGACGTGAGCCACTGGTGTCCAGCTGCATGTCCCCTTTTCTTTTCCTTTTTCTTTTTTTTGGCAGTACTAAGGTTTGAACTCAGGGCCTCATGTTTGCTAAGGCAGGTGCTCTACCACTTGAGCTGTCAGGATGGGGCTGTTGTCACCTTCATAAGGTCTCTAGATTCAAAGCATTTTTCAACAGCTTACACACACGTTTACTTGTTTCTTCTCTCCCTCTCCAGGAAGGGTAAGTTGCCCTGTGAATGTCCTTTTTTTTTTTTTGCAGTACTGGGGTTTGAACTCAGGACCCTACACCTTGAGCAGCTCCACCAGCCCTTTTTGTGTTAGGTATTTTCGAGATAGGGTCTCTTGAACTTATTTTCCCAGGTTGGCTTTAAAACACTATCCTCCTGATCTCTGCCTCCTGAGTAGCTAGGATTACAGCGTGAGTCACTGGTGCCTGGCTTTAGATATTTCTTTAATCAAGACATTTCCATCACCTCCATGGATTCCCTCACAGGTCTACCGTTGCACCAGTCCTCTAATCCTTTTTCATTCTGCAGCCAGAGAAGATTTTTTTTAATGTAATTTGAGCCAGACACTTCCCTCTTAAAATCCTGCAGCTTTGTCCTTTGATCTCAGGATAAAGCCCAAAGTGTTTCGTGTCATCTAAGAGCAAGCTATCTCTTCTTCCTCCCACAGAACCACAGTTTGTTCTGTGGGCTCAGCAGCAGCCTGCCTCAGGGCCTTTGTACATGCTGTTCTCCTTCAGTACCTGATCCTCCTTCTCTCCATATACAAATATAGCTCGATCGGAATAACTAACATCTATGCAAGCAATTTATGTGTATTTATATTCATTAGCTTATTCTCATAATATCCCTGGTAAGTATTAATAGACTTTCTAGCAGACTTACAGGTTAGACATTTGAGGGTCAGAGATGTGAACTAGCTCCCTTCAAGGTATAGAGGTGGTAAACCCCCACCAGTCAGTAAGCTTCAGGAGGACAAGGATTGTGTGAGTTTTGCCCACGTGTGCCTAGTATTCGTTTCTTTAAACACATTTATTGAACATTGGAAGGTTCTGGGGTTTTTTTCTTTCTCTTTTCTGAGGTATTGGGATTTGAACTCAAGGCCAACCTCGAGCCACTCCACCAGCTCTTTTTTCTGTGATAGGTTTTCTTTTTATCGTTTTTACATTTACTCACATGTGTATACATTGTTTGGTTCCTTGCCCCCCCTTCCCCCTCCCCCCTCTTCTCCCCCTTCTCCCTGTCCCCGACTTGTATAGGTTTTCGAAATAGAGTCTAATGAATTGCCCAGGGGCTGGCTTCAAACTGCGATCCTCCTGATCTCTGTCTCTTGAGTAGCTAGGATTATAGGCGTGAGCCACTGGTGCCCGCCTTTTTTTTTTTTTTTAAGATGGTTCAAGCGGTAGTGAGTCTGCCTAACAAGTATAAGGCCCTGAATTCAAACTCCAGTACTGGAAAAATCTAAACAAAACAGATTTAAACAAGCATTAGGGTGGTTCCTGATGTTTATGGAGGTGGGAATTTGGGAACAGTCTCACATAAAGTAGTCCCATGAGGCATCATGACTTTCAAATGACCTGATAGCCCTTCATGGAGATGAAAAAAATCCGTTTATAATTACCCAATCCTAACCTAGACACTAATTCCCTTTTACATAGAAAAGGAAAACTTCTTTTTGCACCCTTAAGTACAAACTAAATTTGCAGCAATTCCACTGACACGGAAATAGAGGGGAGGTGATAGTGTTGTTTTCTCAAAGGTTTACCAAAATTTGCTCGTCTTTTCAGGAAATCATACCACCCACTATATACTACTACTGCTATTTGAAGGTTCCTTCACGAGTCTACCTCAAGGTCGTATACTCTGAAAACTTCAGTATGTCTTTTGTATTTGGGCTCAAACATTTCCATATCAAACCACCTATTATTTCATCGCAATTGATTTTAGGTTCCTTCATCTGACGATTAGACATCCCGTTGACCTTTTAAACATTCTGCATATGGATGGGTTAAGTCACCTCTGGGTTCCATTCCGGGATGGCCGTGGAGGGAGGGTGGGTGGGAAAAGCGACTTTTGAATCCATTTACTATGGACAGAGGCCCTGCGGCAATCCCGCAGACGCGAGCGCGGCGGTCCTCCGCGCGCCAGGGGGCGCTGTGGCGTCGCGCGGCCGCGCCGGGTCGCTCTCGCGTGGCCGCCCCGCCTCGGGCCCCCGGGCCGAGTGGGCGGGCACGACTGCGCCCAGGTCGCGAGGCGCCCTTCGACCAGCAGCGCCCGGGGCGGGCGGGTATAAATGGAGCGGTGGCTGCCCCAGCCGCCTCTCTCCGCCCCGGGTCACCGCCGCCTGCATCGCTTCCAGGCTCAACAGCCTGAAGCAAGAACGAGAAGAAGATAAAACGACAGCAGATAGAGGCCCGAACACGCTTCAAAACCTTACAAAAAAGAAGGAAAAGGGGAAGAGTGAAAGCGAATCCCCTTTGGAGAGCCTGCGGGGAAGTCACTTTCGCACGCTTCCGGCCTCGTCGCGCCCCGCGTCCGTCCGTGTCCTCCGTCGGTGCCGGTGGTGAGCCGCCCCCGGCCCGCGCGTCCCGCCTCCTCCCGCGCCCGCGCGCCCGCCGCGTGGCACAGCCCGCGCCCCCGCGCCGGCCGGCGCACCACGTGTCGGCGCTGCCCTTCGCCGCCGCCGCCGCCGCCGCCCGCCCGGGGCTGGCCGCGTCGGCACCCGCAAAGATTCGGTTTCCCTCTTCCCTGGCCGCTGTAATCTTAAACCGCCGGGAGCCCGGGGCCTATATTTATCGAGAAACGCGTGTTCCCCAAGGCCGCCGTGGGCAGCATCTGGCTGCCTCTTGAAGAATTTTTGCCCCCTTCCGAAGGGCATTGCTTACTTTAATTTTTTTCTTTTTTTTTTGGTGAAATTTGGAGCTTCAAACCCAGACAGCTTGGAAATCGCAAACTCCCCGGGAAAGGCCATATTGTTTTTGAGAGCCTTTGTCTGGGGTTTTGCGGTCCCGGGTGAGCCGGCCCCGCACTCACGACCTGCCTCCGAGCCTCCCTGCTCCAGCGTCTCTTGGTGTCGCTCTGTGCCACTTGTGAGCCCCGGCGCGGGCCACGGCCCCTAGAAAACCCCCTTTTGTCCTGCAGTGGGCCCTGTAAGAAGTCCTGGCGGGGCTCGGGGTGGTGGGGGGCGGGGAGATGAACGCTGCAGCCAGCAGCTACCCCATGGCCTCCCTGTACGTGGGCGACCTGCACTCGGACGTCACCGAGGCCATGCTGTATGAAAAGTTCAGTCCCGCGGGGCCTGTGCTGTCCATCCGGGTCTGCCGTGATATGATCACCCGCCGCTCCTTGGGCTATGCGTACGTCAACTTTCAGCAGCCAGCTGACGGTGAGTAGGAGTGGCGCCCACAGGTTCCGTGGGATCCCAAGGGACCTTAGGAGTCATCTTCTGGGATAGGCCCGATTGCCAGGGAGGGGGCATCACGACAGCATGATGCCACAGAAGCCATAGTGGGGAACACGATGGAGGGGTGGAGAACATGGAGCCTGGCATGTTGTCATGATCCCAGTTTCAGCCTTGCTTCCACCACACTTGCTAACCGGATGACCTTGGGCTCCGGGGTGGGGGTTGGAACCCAGGGAGGCTGTATATCCACCATCTGAACGAGGTGACTTTGTTATTCCACTGGGCTTAAGTGAGGTGGAGCTGTGGTAGACCTTGGCCTGGTCAGTAGGCATGGGCTGGTGCCCCTCAGAGAATTGAAACAGTGCCCTGCAAAAGTTTTAGGTTGCAAAGCAGTTGGCCCTCCCCAACTTTTACCCTGGACTGAGTCTTGATTTGGGCTAGTAAGGGAAGGTTTTAGGCAGGTAGAAACAATGGGGATAGTTATGTGCAGTAGATTCAAGAGAGGCTGTGTTCCTGCTCTGTTTGCTGCTGGTGTGGAGGAGTTCTCAGCTGTGGATGAAACTTTAGGCTATGCAGAGAGGTATCCAGGTAGTCTGGGAAGTGTCCACTAGGCTGCTGACAGTTATGTTGTCAAAACCCTTTTACTTCAGCACATCTGAATAAAACAGGACTTCTGTGGAGGAAGGGGAACTGCAAAAAGTTGGGAGGCAAATTGGGTTGCTCTGTCACCCCAGATTGTAGCCTTCACATGGAGCAGTGGAGACTGCAGGTGTGGTACAAGTGAGCCCAGAGAAAACTTAATCAGGACCTGCACGTGACTCCAGATTAAAAAGGGAACAACTGTGGAGATCATGACTGGAAGAAACAAGCCATTCTTTGGCAATGGCTCTCCAGGTCCCTATTAACTTTGTCCCCACTTTGTTCACTGCCTATGAGGCAGAAAATGTTACTTGCCCAAGTTGCAGCTTTGAGCAGAGATTTGGACTAGTTGAGAGACTAGGTATTGCTACTGTTAACCCAGTGTGCTCTGGCCACAGCACAAAGAAGAGAGAGCAGTGTGGGGTACATTATCTGTTGCCTGCCTTCTTACCTCTTCTGAACAAAATTTGAGTCACTTGGAGATAGCAGAAGCCATTGGTCTGTGTGTCTGCCAACACATACCTCTGTAGTACTTCTTCCTACTATAAATAAGTGCAGCCAGATTTGTCAGACTAAGCTGACTTGCCCTGTGCAGTGCCGTCTGGAAATAGACCAGGAGCCTTGTTGGAATGGGCCCCTTTACTGCTGATTAGCAATAGTTCCCAGGCAGAGGTCACGTGGCCACATAGGTGAACAACTCTGGTGAACTTCAACTGGACTTTTTCTGACTTGAACCTGTCCTGTTATTTCCCCTCTGCCCCAACCATTCCCCATACAAACTGCCTACCTTCTCAGGAAGGTAGGAATGGTTATTAGGGGTGAGTGAAAATAAATTCCCTTGGCTTATTAGGCAGTTGAACTTGTGGAAGAACAGTTTTATGGAACTCTGTTCTCCCCGCCACCCTTTTTTGGGATGTTAGGAATCAGCCAGGGCCTCACACATTCTAGGCAAGTGCTCTACCACTGAACTGATCTGTACCCCATTCCTTCTTCTAAATAAGAGGCAGACATGGGCTCCCCAACTCTTCGTGGCAGTTCTGGTGATGTCATTTCATCAGTGCAGTCATTGTGATGAGATGATGTAAGAAGTGGTCACCAAATCTGGGGGAGTCCTTGTTGGTACCAGTGAAGAGAAGTGTTCCTGGCCATGAAGTGATCCATTACATTGTCTCTGCTGTGCATACATGAACTTGATGAGAAGCAAAGAAAGCACCCCAACGCACTAGATGGAGGGAAAGTGGGGTACGGGTCTAGAGCAAATGAATTCTTAAAATTCCATAGAACTCAGATGAAAGTGTCAAAAAGCCTGCACCAGGAGGTGCAGGACCTACCTGTATTTTCCCGGGTTTTTTTGTTTTTGTTTTGTTTTGTGGGACTGCGGCTTAACCCTTCTTGTGCTTGTACAGTGAGCACTCTACAACTTGAACCACACCTCCAGTCCATTTGCTCTTTTTTTTATGTGTGTGCGTGCGTGTGTGTGTGTGTGTGTGTGCGCGCGCTACTGGGGTTTGAACTCGGGGCCTACACCTTGAGCCATTCCTCACTTTTTTTGTAAAGGGTTTTTTCAAAATAGGGTCTCATGAGCTATTTGCCTGGGCTAGCTTCAAACCTAGATCCTCTTGATCTGTGCTGCGTAAGTAACTAGGATTATAGGTGTGAGCCACCAGCGCCTAACCCTGCTCTGGTTATTTTGGAGATGAGGTCTTGCTAACTGTTTGTCCAGCTGGTCCTGAACCATGATCCTCCAAATCTCCTTCCCAATAACTAAGACTACAGGTGTGTGCCACTAGGACCCGATTCGCACTTGTCCTCTTAGGGCACACCCTGGGGTATGGTTTCATTCTGTCCCTAGTAACACTGAGAACATTTCCATATTGATTGATGATTTCTGTCAAAATTATTTTCTGTGCTTCTCAGAAATTGTCTTTGGTTTTTTTTGTTTTGTTTTGTTTTTTGCAGTATTGGGGTTTGAACTCAGGGCCTACACCTTGAGCCACTCCACCAGCCCTTTTTTTTTTGTGAAGGGTTTTCTCGAGATAGCCCAGGCTGGCTTCAAACCTTGATCCTCCTGCTCTCTGCCTCCTGAGTAGCTAGGAATACACTCAATTTCAGAAACTGAAAGTGTAGGAAACTGGGCTGAATTAGAAAATCTGGTGTTTCTTAACCACTCGTTACTTGCATAGCTTAGCTACCCTGAACATAATTGTTCATTTTGGAAAGTGGATCCTTTCAGCTGTCACACCTGAATCACAGTGGGTGGTAGGCTGCAGTCTCTTAGAAGTGGTAACATGTCCTCAAAGGTGGGGTATTACCATTGGATTTTGGTGCCGTGAAGACTGCTCTAATGGTTACCTGGAAAAGTCTTCTTGCTTTGCTCTTGTGTCACATCCTTGACTAAAATGCATCTCTCTTGCAGCTGAGCGGGCCTTGGACACCATGAACTTTGATGTGATTAAGGGAAAGCCGATCCGTATAATGTGGTCCCAGAGGGACCCCTCCTTGAGAAAATCTGGCGTGGGAAATGTCTTTATCAAGAACCTGGACAAATCCATAGATAACAAGGCACTTTATGATACTTTTTCTGCTTTTGGGAACATTCTGTCCTGCAAGGTAAACATGAATTAAATCATTCAGGATAACAAATACCAAATGAACTGCCTTGAAATTGGGGGCAGCAGTTCATGGTGATTGCTTAAATGCTAGAAATGCAGAAGTTACTGTAGGTAACCTCAGTGTCACAGCACACTGACCAGCAGGTGCTTTTCTGGCCATTTATCCTTCCCTTGGCCTTCATGTTTCCTGGTTTTGGAGGCCTCAAAGAGTTTTTATTTTAAATAAGGGAGAAATGCCTGCTGTTTCTAAGAAGCTCTGTTTAATCATTTTTTAGAAGTATAAATTCACCCTCTTCTCTGCACATCTGTTTATGTGGAGCGCTTTGTAAAACTTACATGGTGGCTGTGACGTACATTATACCACAGTAGACTGAAATTCTTTTGTGGACCTGGAAAAGTTTTGTCTTTCTGCAGCGCTATGGTTTGCACCCAGATCTCGTAAATGTCTTTTAATAAAAGTAAGTAAAGCACTGGGACTAGGAGCCTCCTAATTGTAGCAATCGTTGGTAAGTGGGGCACGTACTAGGTGTCTGGTGCTATGCTGTGTGCCAGAAACATCACTGCTGGTGCAGTTGGTTGGTTACATCTGGAGCTGATCAGTGATGCTAAAGCGTTGTGTCTGCCTTTCTTTGGCAGGTGGTGTGTGATGAGAATGGCTCTAAGGGTTATGCCTTTGTCCACTTCGAGACCCAGGAGGCTGCCGACAAGGCCATCGAGAAGATGAATGGCATGCTCCTCAATGACCGCAAAGTGTGAGTGTCCCAGTCCGGAGCGACAGCCATCGCGTGAGCGGCCGTGGCCCCACCTCGGTATTAGCTGGCACACTCTCGGCCCAAGTGTGGCCTTCTCCTACCTCTCCACTCCAGGGCTGGTGAGTCTCCCTGCCCAAGCCATGGCCTGCCTGCTGCCTCTCCCTTTTAAAGGCATTTGTCTGTGGGTTTTGTGAGCATCGGCAACCAGGGCTGGCTAGAAGACAGCTCTAAGCCCACTCTGAGCAGGGGTCTTGGCCAGTGGCAGAGTGGAGAGGGCCCTGGGCTGACCAGGAGCTGTATACTAGTTAAGTGACCTTGGCTGTCCTTTTGACTCTGGTCTGTCCATGGGTCTCTTGCTAGTTTTGATGCCAAATTGTCCCTCTGTTGTTCTCCATTCTCTAACCTGTGACTTTAACCAATAAGACTGGCTCCACAGTAATTCTTAATGTGGTTAAAATGAAAAACCCCATCCCTTTGTGGAGCAGAGATTTAAACAGAACGTGTTGCTCTGGTGTGGTTGTTACTGTGGAATGGAGAGAGGGGCTCAGCAGAGCCATGTGGGGAGAAGGGCATCTTGACTCTTAGAAACAAAAGTCACTTCTGGCCTTTGGTGTTGAATAGACCAGAGGTTGTGTTTGTAACGTCTGTGTGCCCAGTGGTGGATTCTAAATGTATCACTAGAAAGAAAGAAAAAAATGTTGGGTGTATGGTGACATTTTCCTATTGAGTATACCAAAATGAATATAATAAAGCAGAGGTTACCGCTTCACTCCAACAATTACACTCCTAGGACTGACCACTGTTAACAGTTTGGTTTGTATCCTTCCAGACCTTTTCTATGCATTTACATAGATGCACAGAAATGAACCTTATAAAAACATGGTCGTCAGGTTTCTTCACGAAGGCAGTGTGATGTGGTAGGAGTAGCCCTGGTCTAAGCCAGGAGCCCTGGGGCTGGTCCTTGCAGGATAGTCCTGCTTCTTTCTTTCTCTTGCTGCTGGGGTCTTGGGACATCTCTGAGCTTACTCTCTTGGTGGATGGGTACCTGTGTGTTTTAACTTCTGTTAGCCTTTAACCTGCATTTCTTTGGGCCCCTGGAAATTGTTTTGTTCCCCCTAGATAATCACTGTTGTTCATGGTTTCTTTGTAGGTTTGTGGGCAGATTCAAGTCTCGAAAAGAACGGGAAGCTGAGCTGGGAGCCAAAGCCAAGGAATTCACGAATGTTTATATCAAAAACTTTGGGGAAGAGGTGGATGATGAGAGTCTAAAAGAGTTATTTAGTCAATTTGGTAAGTTGGGGTACATGTCCCCTTTTACAGTCCACAAGCCCTAGAATTCACCTGTTTTAAGAGACAGGGCATTCAGACCCAGAAATAAAATATTTTCTGTGAACAAGGTTCACAGTGTGTATGGAGATAGATTCCAGGTCAGCTCTCATTTTACCCTACCCCTTCATCCCTAAGTCCATCTTAGCTCCTTAGTGTGATTTAGAAGACCAGACATAGTGCCTCTTTCTTAAATGAACCTGGGTTCAGCCAGAGATTTGCTTCCACAGGTTTCCTAAAGAGTTGTCTTTCCCTGAGTTGTGATAGATATGGTGTGACTAATAGTTCTATCCTTTGGTAATAGGTAAGACTCTAAGTGTCAAGGTGATGAGAGATACCAGTGGGAAATCCAAAGGCTTTGGCTTTGTGAGTTACGAAAAACATGAGGATGCCAATAAGGTGAGAGTACCAGGAGGGCTGGGAAGAATTTGTAGGAGGTGGCCCCAATGTGGACAGAGCAGGGGCTGGCTTAGCACAAAGCAGAGCAGAGCCAGAGTGAACTGAATATAGTGGAAGCACAGTTACTGTGCTCTGTCCTTATCTTCCTGAGGGTTCCACCGTTAACTGTTTACCAAGCATTTGTACATGCTGTCACTTCAACTTTTCAGCTATTGAAGGGAATGGGGCAGGTATTTGTTCCTATTTGTAGGTAAGGGACCTGAAGCCTAGAGAGTTGGCTTGGTTATAGCACCACAGCTACTCCGTGTGTCACTTAAATATCTACAAAAGAACCTGAGAAATTTAGTTAACAGCCTGATCAGCCTAGGCTCATGTGGTTCTTTTTTTTTTTTTTGAATGGGACTAGAGTTTGAACTCAGGCCTCTATGCTTATAAAGCAAGTGGCTCTACTACTTGAGCCGTTCCTCCAGTCTCTTTTGCTCTAGTTTTTTTGCCCAGGTTGGCCTCAAACTGTGATCCTCTTATCTCAGCCTTCCAAGTAGCTAGAATTACAGGTATGAGCTACAGCTCCTAGGCTTGTATTTGTATTTATACAACTGTACTGGATTTCCCCTCTCTTCTATGTTACCTGGACTAATAACTAACTCATTTAGATATTAGCACTACTTTATAGCTGAAGAATTTTGTATTTGTTTAGCAGAGTTCAGAGGTAGCATAAAATAGTCCTATAGGTACGGCTTTTCTCATTTGGTTGGTCTTACAGATGGCCAAAACTTGTCTCTGTAACTTTTTTTTTGTTGTTTGTTTTTTGGCAGTACTGGGGTTTGAACTCAGGGCCTCACACTAGGCAGGCAGTCTTAATACTAGAGTCACTCCTCAAACCCTTTTTTGTGTTGGGTATTTTTGAGATGGAGCCTTGTGAACTATTTGCCCTGGCTGGCTCCGAGCCGCTATCCTCCTGATCTTTGCTTCCCAAGTAGCTAGGTTACAGGCATGAACCACCAGCACCTGGCTGCATCTTGATGAATTTCCTCTCTAGGCTGTGGAAGAGATGAATGGAAAAGAAATCAGTGGGAAAATCATATTTGTAGGCCGTGCACAGAAGAAAGTAGAACGGCAAGCTGAATTAAAACGGAAATTTGAACAGCTGAAACAGGAAAGAATTAGTCGATACCAGGTGAGGTGGTGTTGGATCAGCCTCCTGATAGGGTATTTTTATTGTGACATTTGCAGGTTTTCTTTTGGGGACTTCACATCTGTACTTTTCCTGAGTATAAGGTTTAAAAGGATGTATATGTACCAGATAGGCAGCAATTATTGAATAGGAACTGTTCACTTAGGGGCTCTCTGTTCTGGAAGTCTCAGCTTGTTGCTTTCTGTCATATAGGTTCTGTTTATTTAGATGGTACTCCTTTGCAGGGGTGAGTGGTTAGCCAGAATAGCTATGGGGAAGGATAACATGTGACTGCGTTGATGGGGACAGTACTTTTCCAACTTTGGACTGTATCAGAATCCTGCAGAACTTGTTAAAACACACATTGTTGGGCCTCAAACCCAGACAGAGGTCCTAATTTTTTTCTTTTGACGCGGTCTCACTATGTAGCCTAAGCTAGCCCTAAACTGCTCCTGCCTTAGCCTCCCAAATAGTGGAATTACAGGTGTGTACAACCACACCTAACAATTTTAATTTCTAAGAAGTTTCCAAAGATGCTAGTACTGCTGGTGTGGAATCACTGTCTATGTGGTGTAGAGGTATAATTAACAGCAATCCTTATCCTTCAGGGGGTGAATCTCTACATTAAGAACTTGGATGATACCATTGATGATGAGAAATTAAGGAAAGAGTTTTCTCCTTTTGGATCAATCACCAGTGCTAAGGTATTTTAGTATGAGACTGTGGGATGTAAGCAGAATGTACTATTAAGTTTTGTTGGCATTTGTTTCATTGAAGGGTCTAACAGTTCTGGGAGTATCTACAGTGTTACTCCAGTAAATTTCTTTTTTGCTGCACTGAGGCTTGAACTCAGGGCCTATACCTTGAGCCACTCCACCAGCCCTTTTTGTGTTTGGTATTTTCAAGACAGGATCTCATGAGCTATTTGCCCAGGCTGGCTTCGAACTGCAATCCTCCTGATCTCTGCGTCCTGAGTAGCTAGGATTACAGGTGTGAGCCATCGGTGCCTGGCTTCTAGTAAATTTCTTGTCTTTAGTTGCCCATCTGAGTACATTTAGTTAGGTTAACAAAGCCTTGACTGTCCCCCAGCACTGGAGTGTGGCAAGGAGCTGACCTGTTGCTCCCTGCATCCTTCCACAGCACCTGAATCTTTCCCATTCCTGCTGCTTTGTGCTGGTCTTGGGGACAGAAGGTGCTATACTATCAGCAGAGGATATCCAGACGGGTTGTTTTCCATTTACTTGGGGCCTGTCTCTACAACTCTGCCACATTCTCCTCGAGAATGAAGGTGGATTGGAGCTGGAGTTGACAACTGCTTCTTAGAACAAAAGGGAGTAGAATCTTTTTCGATGGTTTGCAGCGTTCATCATGTGCTGGACGTGTGATCACATCAATTGAGTTAGCTAAGTAGGAACCTCATTCATACTAAGGAATTTAAGTCCATGAGCAAAAGAATGCTGGCTACCTGGGGATGGTGTGCTATGTGTTCCTGGCACTTTGGAAGTGTGATGGAGATAGATTTCCAGATCTGGAAAATCTGGGGCTGTGGACTTGATACACTGTTCTGCTTGGTAGAGATGCAGCAGATCCACAAAGTACTTTAGGTGATGTGAAACAAGGCTGGGTGGGCTGGTAGGTGTGGTGGCCCTCTCTGGGCCCTTAGCATGTCACATGGAAATGTGCCAAGGCATGTTATCACTTGTATGGCTAGTTGACTAGAGGCCAACTTGGGTTTGCCCAGTTGTTCTTGGTGTTACCCCTAGGCTGGCTTCCATTGGTACAAGGGATAGATGATAATCTCTCCCTGCTTGGCTGCACTGCAGGCAAGTTGGCATTTCTAAGAAGACAGGGCAGGAGCACTATTTAGTCATTTTCAAGATCATGGTAAGGCATTGTCTTTACTCATCTTACTGGCCCGACTCAATGGGTAGAGCATTATTGGGTTGATAGATGTGTTGACTTCCATGCCCTCACCTTAGGAGGCTCTCCAACTGTGAACTTGGACATAAAATGGTGCCAAGCACACACAGACACCAAGGGGACTGGTGACCTTTTCAAGTGAGGAAAAGAGCCATTAGTGAATAACTTTATTTGGAAAGAGGCTGCCTGAACTGGTAGCTGTATGGTTTATTTATAGTAGATCATGGAAACTGAGGCTCAGAGGGGCAGTTACAAGTAGAATTAGAATCTGGGCTCCCTGTCTCCTGTCAATCCCATTGAATTAATGGTGGCAGTCACTGGCAACCTGAGAGTCTTATAACTGCCCACAGGTATTTCAAAAACATCATTCTCGCTTTGCTTAAGAGTTTGTTCACATCCAAAGTTTTAGACCGGATGATTTCTACAAATAAATTGTGGCATCAGGAAACATCTTTGGTTTCCTGCTTTTATCATTAGCCACATCATGTTTGGGGAAACTTGAGCATCACTGGGGAGCTTCAAACAGAAAATACCTAGGTATCCTGGGGCTTGAACTCAGGGCCTTCACCTTGAACCACTCCACCAGCTCTTATTTTAGTGAAGGGTTTTTCAGGATATGGTCTCCTGAACTATTTTGCCTGGGTTGACTTCAAACCATGATCCTCCCAATCTCTGCCTCCTGAGTAGCTAGGATAACAGGTGTGAGCCACTGGTTGTGTCTGGGGTACGAACTGGGCCATTGTTGAACCCCTGACTTAGACTTGGGACTTCAGCAGAGCCCAGGTTTTTTTGGCTCATCTGAAGAAACTGCCCCACTCCTATCACACTTTAAGTCACTGGTCTCATTTTGTAGGTAATGCTAGAGGATGGAAGAAGCAAAGGGTTTGGCTTCGTCTGCTTCTCATCACCTGAAGAGGCAACCAAAGCAGTCACTGAGATGAATGGACGTATTGTGGGCTCCAAGCCACTGTATGTTGCTCTGGCTCAAAGGAAGGAGGAAAGGAAGGCTCACCTGACAAACCAGTACATGCAGCGGGTGGCTGGCATGAGAGCACTCCCTGCCAACGCCATCTTAAACCAATTCCAGCCTGCAGCTGGTGGCTACTTCGTGCCGGCAGTTCCACAGGTAGGTGTGCTACAAGATCAAGCCCCGTGCGGACCTGCCCATGACAGCTGCTTCTGTTTACTGCAGTGGTTAGGGGGAAGGGAATTTCGGATATTGGCACTCACAAATATCAAAATAAAGACCCTGCAAGTAGAAATGTTGCTCCTTCTCACACACACACACAGCAGATGAGGTGGAGAAGCTGTGTGATTGCCCCTTACCTGACCTTCCACGCAGGATTGAGAGGGCCTGGCGGTGAGATGAGATGGGATACACTCTAGTGTGGATTTAAGTCTTTAAAGTAAGAAAGCTTGGGTGCTCTTTCCTTCCAGGCACAGGGAAGACCTCCATATTACACCCCTAACCAGTTAGCACAGATGAGGCCTAACCCACGCTGGCAGCAAGGCGGGAGACCTCAAGGTAGGTGGTGGGAATTATGATTTGGTCACCCACCATGTCCCCATCCAGTTCTACCTGCTTTTTCTGCATGCCGCTCAAGAGACATACCCTGACTTCTGATCCATGTAGCTTGTCAGTGACGAGCAGTTTCTATCTTTTTTAGGCTTCCAAGGAATGCCAAGTGCCATACGCCAGTCTGGGCCTCGTCCAACTCTTCGCCATCTGGCTCCAACTGGTAATGCTCCGGCCTCTCGTGGCCTCCCTACTACCACTCAGAGAGTCGGTGAGCAAACTGGCCTGTAGGATCATGGCCCGGGGAGGAGGGAGTCAGAATGACTATCTCTGCCCTTGCTGGGTCAGTCTGTTGGGCTCAAGTTTTTGAGTCCTGGTTCTGTCATCTTAGCTGTGTGCATAGGTAGGTACTTTGCTCTGAGTTACTAGGTGTGTTGGTTACTTTTAACATTCTTTGCTCATCAGTGACCCATGAAAAGGCTAATGGTAGGAGTTTGCTAGCTGAACGACTGCAGAGACAGCTTGTTCTTTTTGGGGGATGGGTACAAGGAAAACATTTTTTACACAGCATGTCCTGTATTCCAAAACATGGAAAGAGTTGTGTGGTGTCCTTGGGCTCATCCTTGAAAGTGCAGTAGTGGCCCCATGTGTGACCTGTTTTGTGGACATGCGTTGGAATTTCTTCTTCCGTGGGACGTGGCCAGTTGGACATCTATTGCCAACACTGATGTGCATTTGCTGGTCTGTTGTAGGGTCTGAGTGCCCGGACCGCTTGGCTATGGACTTTGGTGGGGCTGGTGCCGCCCAGCAAGGGCTGACTGACAGCTGCCAGTCTGGAGGTGGTATTGGATGCGCACAGAAGGGGGAAAAATGGGATTTAACGGGTCTTTGCCCAGACTGATGGGCTTTAATTATATTTGTTTTCTTCCGCAAGGTGTTCCCACAGCTGTGCCAAACCTTGCACCTCGTGCTGCGGTTGCTGCTGCTGCTCCACGGGCTGTGGCACCATACAAGTATGCATCCAGCGTCCGCAGTCCCCACCCTGCCATACAGCCTCTACAGGTGAGGTCCACTGAACATGCCAAGGGCGCACTTAAAAGGTGCTTTGTTTGATACACCCAACAGGTGCAACATGCCTGCTCTATTAGGGTGCTGTGTTCTGTGAAAGTATTCTTTCTAATAACAGTTCATTTTAAAATGCTCCATTGCCAGGCACTGGTGGTTCATGCCTGTAATCCTAGCTTCTTGGGAGGTACAGGATCACAGTTTAAGGCCAGCCCAGGCAAAGTTTGTGAGATTCCATTCCAACAAGTGAGGTGGTGCACACCTATCATCCCTGCTACTCAGGGAACCTCAAATAGAATTGCGGTCAAGGCCAGCCTGGAAATAAAGTGAGACTCTATCTCAAAAAATAACCCAAGCAAAAAAGGCTGGTAAAGTGACTCAAGTGGTAGAGCACTTGCCTAGCAAGCACAAGGCCCTGAGTTCAGTCCTTAGTACCACCAAAAGAAACACCCAAACCAAAAAAATGTGATACAATAAAGGTGATTTAGTGTATGGTTTTATATGACACACAGACATATATATGAATATATCCCCCCTTACTGGAGTTTGAACTCAGGGCCTACACCTTGAGCCACACCAGCCCTTTTTTTGTGATGAGTTTTTTGTTGTTGTTGCTTTTTTTCTTTTCTTTTTTTTGGAGCTAGGATCTTGTGAACTCTTCCTCAGGCTGGCTTCAAACAGATCCTCCTGCTATCTGCCTCCTGAGTAGCTAGGATTATAGGCGTGAGCCACTGGCAGCCAGTTTAATTATGTTTTGATATTCATTTTCTAACTTGGTCTGTACTGGAATGACCCTAAAGGAAATTATTTCAGGAAAAGGCTGCACACAGATACTCATGTGGCCCAATGCACAGCAAGTCCTTAAATCCTTGGGTAAATCAAATGCGGTGTCAGCAAAAGCTTATCAGCATTGTAGATTGGCTTTATTTGCATGCATTTCACTTTCACTTCTGATAGCATGTCATTTCATCATAGAAATGGTTTTATTTCTACCATGAAATGGTAGTTTTATTTGCACCATTCTGTTTCTCATAGTACCCTCAGCCTCCCAGGGCCAACTAGTTCTTGAGAACAAGGACAGCTACCTTTCACATACATTATTGTTAGGTGTTCTGATGTTGATCAGTCAGGCTTTCAACCACCATCAGGTGTCCTTTTTTTTTTTTTTCTTAGCGCTAACCGGCTGCCTCTCCTGGTTTCTAGGCACCCCAGCCTGCCGTTCATGTGCAGGGGCAGGAACCCTTGACCGCCTCCATGCTGGCTGCAGCACCCCCCCAGGAACAGAAGCAGATGCTGGGTGAGTGACTCGTGCTTGTAGAAGAAGGCAGCCAGCTCAGACACCAGCATCTGTCCACTGGGATCTAATTGGTTTTTAGTGTCCTGCCCACAGGAGAACGTTTGTTCCCGCTCATCCAAACAATGCATTCAAACCTGGCTGGGAAGATCACGGGAATGCTGCTGGAGATCGATAACTCAGAGCTGTTGCACATGCTTGAGTCCCCCGAGTCTCTCCGCTCCAAGGTAAGCACTTCTCAGAGCCTATGGCTTTGCCCCTCAGCTGGACACCCAGGTGAGGCAGAGATAAGTCTGCTGTATCTGGGACTGCCATTTTGGGTTATTGGGAGTGCTATCAGCACTAGGGAGTGGCAGGCAGCTCTCCTCAGTCACTGACAAGGTTTTCTCACAGGTGGACGAAGCTGTGGCAGTTCTGCAGGCTCATCATGCCAAGAAAGAAGCTGCCCAGAAGGTGGGCGCTGTTGCTGCTGCTACCTCTTAGACAAGGAAAAACCGTATGTTTAGCTCTGTCCTTTTCTGCCATGTTTTTGTTTGTTTTGTGTATTTATTTGAGACCAGGTCTTGCTATGTAGCCCAGGGTGGCCTTGAATTCTGAATCTTCTTACCTCAGCCAGGGGTACTTACTGGATTGTTAGGTGTGCACCCCACAAGAGCAAAGGACTAGGTACTTTAGCATGCCCCTATAATCCCAGCTACCCAGGAGATCCTGCCTCCCCTATGCCTATGACATACTCCACCCCCTCTGCAAAAATTTCTTAAAGAGCACCTGTTCAGAGATGTTTCTCAAGAATTAACTTGTTGACTGGGGACACATAGATAGTATAGCACATGCTTAACACGTACCAGGCCCCGGATTGAATCCCAAGTCATTCCCCACCCCCTCCACCCCCCCCTAAAAAGATATACCTTGTTGGTCTCAAATGATGACAGATAAATGCGGGACTTCTTATTAGATGCCAGAGCCTTGTTGCTGTGTAAATCATCTTCCTAGTTTGGCCCAAGTCTGGTGAGGTTCTGTGTCTGCTATTGCTAGGAATACAACAGAGGCCTTGTTGTCATGGTCTCATGGGGGAGAGGCGCACTGGACTATAGGTACAGACCTATACCTATAGGTACAGCTGACCTATGAACCTATGAGGGCTGTGGGCTCCTGCAGGGGCTTAAGTGGGTGCCTCCAGGTGAAGAAACAAGCCATGGGCAATTCAGAGGCAGACATCTTGTGCTAAGGGCTAGAGCTGGTGTGCTGGCATACCCCAAGCAGCCTTGTCGTCTCGTCATTCGAGGCCAGAGATGCTGCTCCGTACACCCCTGGCCAAGTTACGCGGTCTAAAACGTCAGTCTTAGCAAGCTGTGCTTATTCATGCTGCTGCGTTTCTTTTTAGGAGTCAAAAGCCAAATGACCCCATGGAATTCAGCTCACAGTTTGAAGACTTCCAGCTTGTCCTATGGACCTCAACACCAGGAACCACAAGTTGCAGATTTAATAGGTCATTTTGTATCAAAAGGTCAATTATGAAGCGCCTAGAATTTTTCAATTATAAGAAGATATTCTCTGGGTTCTGCTGCGGCCCAGACAGTGTTAACTTTTTTTTTTCTATTGTGGGTTTTGATTTTTTTTTTCCCCCCAGAAATTGGTTTTATTTGATGTACCCAAGTCTTAAGTTTCTCAATAAAGAAAATCTCCATTAAGTCTGCTTGTATCTTATCTGTGTCACTGATTGGTTTTTTGATAAGTTTTGTGGAAATAACTTTAAAATGTTTTCCTTTTAAAATAGAAAATTTTTAAAAATCATGAAACTGTTAGGTACTTGAGACGCTGACCAGTTTTATAAATTTCAGTTCACTGGAAGGAAGTATTAGATGAGAATATTTAAATCTGGTATGCTAGAAGTGGCAGAGTAGCTTAAATGGTAAAGCAAAACCCAGTACAAAAAAAAAATTCAATCTGGTATGCTCAGAGTAGACGTTGGGACTGGCTCAGGAAAACCAGTGGGGTTGGTGTACAACCAAGGATGTGAGATGTACTGGCTGACTGATTGGCTCTGCCCCCTGGGCTATGGTGGTAGTTTTGGATTTGTCTTTCACCTTTCTCCTGCAGTCAGTCCATTCTTCTGGACTAAGTAGATCAGTTGCTCGGATTCTGCAAGCAGCATTTCCACTAGTTGTGGGAAAGTGCTCAGGAGGTTAGACCTGTGGAAACAGCACATTAGTGCTACCCAGGCCAAGGTCAAAACTAGCCTGCCTACCTTTGTAGCCTATTTGTCCTAACTCGTCCTCAGTAGTGAGATGAGTATTCTATGCATAATTAATGCTCAGTTGGAATGAATGATTGTTGGGTAAATAATTGCACTTTTGAGTTTGGTAAACAAAAGTCTAAATGCTTAGAAAGCAATTGACACCTTAAACTCTAGTGGCAAAAATGCAATTTAAATGGGTACCATGGATCAAGTGGTAGAGCACCTTGCCTAGGGAGTGCAAGGCCCTGAATTCGAACTCTAGTACTGCCAAAAATAACAATTCAGCTGAGGCTGTAGCTCATAAGTTGTGAGCTTTTTCTTCCTCAAGTGCTAGGGACACCTATTAGGCAAACTACCATTTCAGCCGTTTCCCGCCCGTACGGTTTTACGTTTATGAGGTAGAGTCTCACTAACTGCCCTGGTGGGCCTTAGTCTCTACCCTCCTGTCTTTACCTCCTGAGCAGTTGGAATTACAAGCAGGCATCATCATGCCCAACTGGCATGCTTTTTTTGTGTGTATGGTCCTGGGGCTTGCTCGGCAGGTGCTCCACCACCTAATGCCACTCCACCAGCTCTTCCCTTTTTTTTTATGTGCTGGTTTTTTCCTCAAACTGCAATCCCCCTGATCTCTTCCTCCTGAGTAGCTAGGATTACACGTGTGAACCAGGAACCTGTGTCTTACAAGAATGCTAGTTATTGGATGTAGGGCCGCAAATCCAGTGTGACTGCAACTAATTACATCTGCTAGGACTGTATTTGTAAATCAGGTCCCATTCTGAGGATTAGGCAGACTTGGAGGATTGCTTTTCACCTTGTTAGGATGGTTGGATGATGACAGTTGCAGAGAAACAGGAAGGTCTGGAAGAAGGAAAGCCCACTAGAAGATAGGTCCTGTGGCACCCTGCACCTGCTGGCCCTCACTGCTGAGTTCCAGTTCCTGTGCGTATTCTTTCCACCACCTGGGGGCACATGTGTACGCCCAGCCCTACAGGCAGTTAGTCCATGCCTTGGGTAAATGCATACAATCTAGGGAAAGAAAATTGGGCTTTTTGTGTACCTGTGCTACTGGGTTTTCATTGGAGTAGTAATTAGGAGTGAACTATAGACATAATTTTTTTTCCTTTTTTAAAATTTATTTTTGTTGTTTGTTTTGTCAGATGGGGGTCTTGTTATGTAATGCAGGCTGGCTTGGAACTTGCAATCCTCCTGCCTCAGCCTCTCAAGTGCTGGGATTACAGGTGTGTGCCACCTCATCCAGCGTTTCCTTCCTTGTATTCTTTTGGCAGGATGTTGTAGCAGCTGTCAAGAACATGGTGTGAGCTGGGTGTGGTGACGTGTGCCAGGAGTCCTAGCTTCTTGAGATGCTGAGGTGGGAGGATTGCTTAAGTCCACAGGTTCCGAATCGGCCAGGGTGCGTGAGGATTTGTATTGTATTTTTAACTGGTATATATTAAGTTGTACATAGCAAGGGTTTCATCATGACATTGCCATACATGTACTTTGATCATTTTCAGTCTTGTCTGGAGCAGGACCTCAGCATCCAGCTTGAGCAAAAGGGCTCCCCCTTACTTCCACAGTAGCATGTGACACAATGGCATGTGACATTACAGGCTGGGCATGGGAGGAGGCAGTGGCAGGTGAGCGAGTCCACCACCTGCAGCAAGGTCACTGCTTAGGAACTTCAGCAACTTTTCTTCCCTGGCAAGGGTTCCTGCTGGCATGCGGAGTCACTTTTGCCTCCTTTCATCTGAGACAGTTTCTTAGGTGGGCATGGTCTCCGCATCTCCAGACTTCAAAGGGAACAGGCCAGCTGTGTTTAGGGCTGTTTCTCTCTTCTCGCAGATGCTCATTCATGACTGCCAGTAAGCTGTGTGCTTTGGCAGGAGCAGCACACAGGAATGTGGTTAGTGTGTCCGTCACATAAGGGAGTATGTGATGGCGAGTGAAACGTGGGTGATGTTATCTGTAATCGGTTCAGGAGATGGAGATGTCTACCAGGTTTCTCTACTGGTGTGTGTGGGTGTGGGTGTGGTGTGTGTGTGTGTGTGTGTGTGTGTGTGTAAAAGAGAGGAAAGGAGAGGGCTCAAGCCAACAGGCCTGGCAAAAGTTACTGTCAAGATATAAATTAAAGTTGGACACCAGTGGCTCACGCCTATAATCTTAGCTACTCAGGAGGCAGAGATCAGGAGGACAGTGGTTCAAAGCCAGCCTGGGAAAATAGTTCGAGACACCCTATCTCAAAAAATCCATCACAAAAAAGGGCTGGTGGACTGGCTCAAGATGTAGGCCCTGAGTTCAAGCCCTGGTACTGCAAAAAAAAAAAAAAAAAGATAAGAGCTAAATAATGTTTTTTGGTTTTTTTTTTTTCACTATCTTCAGTCCATTTCCTACTGTTGACAGTTGTGTTTTTCCTATTTTCTTAAGAATCCTCATGATCCTTTTTACCATTATCAGCAGTTTTTTGGTTGTTTTTTTTTTTGGTGGTACTGAGGATTGAACCCAGGGCCCCATGCTTGCTAGAGAAGCAGTCTGCCACTTGAACTATGTCCCCAGTCCTTGATCCAGCTTTTTTAAATGTTCATCAAAGTCATAAGTGTGCATTGTTAAAGCCATTCTATAGTTTATTATAAATCATGACGTTCTTCCCTCCCCCCAGCATCATCATTCTTTCACCCAAATCAACAATCATTCCTTTTAAGCAATTATTTATTAATTTACTTATTTTGGCACTACTGGGGTTTGAACTCAGGGCTTTGTGCTTGCTAGGCAGGTGCTCCACTGCTTGAGCTACGCCTCCAGCTCCATTTTTCAGGTTTTTAAAAACATTTTTCTGAGTGCCTTAGAGGATATATGAGGGCTTCATTGTGACACTTCCACATAAACATATATTGTACTCCGGTTTAGTTTATCCACTTGCTTTTCCATTTCTGGTTTTTTGTTTTGGTTTTGGTTTTTGGCAGCGCTGGGGTTTGAACTCAGGCCTCACACTTGCAAGGCAGGTGCTCTTACCACTTGAGCCACACTGCCATCCCTGTTCTGTGTTGGTTTCTTTGAGATGGGGTCTCGGGAACTACTTTGCTCCAGGCTGGTTTTGAACTGCAGTCCTCCTGATCTCTACCTCCTGGGCAGCTAGGATTACAGGTGTGAGCCACTGGTGCTCGGCTGCTTTTCCATTTCTGACTTATATGCAGGACACTGAGGCGTGATCTTGGGATAAGAGGGAGGGTGGCAGACCAAGCCGAGGGCACATATGTGAGCTGCCTAGCAGTCGTGCTGAAGCCTTGGCCCATCTTAGGGGCGTTTGGGAGCTTGGCTGCCCTCCTGAGCTGTCCTGAACCAAGACAAAGGGACCAGGCCTTTGCACCCTTCTGTGTGCCACTCGTGGCTGCGGCTGACTTCAGGAGTGGCACATATTTTGAGAGAGCTACTTCTGGCCCACGCCATTTCCTGAGCGCTGCTCACTCCTGGGAGCTAAGGGAGAGACTGGGGATGTGGGAGGTGAATGGTGACCACTGCACCACAGTAGTCCTGCCTGGGGAAGAGGAGCCAGAGGAGTTAGTGGACTGACTATAGTGCCTATCACTGCTACGGGGAGAGCCATCATCTGCCTTACTGCCCACCATATGCTGGGCTGGGAGACTTATCTTGTGGGGTGACCTTGAGTTTTACCCCCAGGCCATGGCTGCCTGTCAGAATTCAGCAGAGGAGTACAAGAAGTGCCCCCTGGATCCCCTGGTGCCATGCTCTGCCCAGCCCAGTTACACAAAGCACACCAGTCCCCTCCTGGTAATCAGGGTCCACCATCCTGCCGGCATGGCAGCTCCTTGTCTTACCTGCTGTCTTTTGGCTCAAGAAGCTGAATGTGATCAGGCAGTCATAGTTCAAAGTTTACTGGGTCTTGGGTGCCCCCACTGGTGTACCTTCTGGCCAGACATGCTGATACACACCTGTAATTTCAGCTACTCAGGAGGTAGAGATTGGGGTGACTGTGGTTTGAGGCTAGCCCCGGCAACATTCAAGACTCTGTCACGATCAACAAGCCAGGCATGATGGGGCATGTCTGTAATCCCAGCTATTGGGAAGTATAGGAGGATGGTGGTCCAGGGCTGGCTATTGGCAAAAACATGAGACCCTATCCAAAAACGACTAAAGCAAAAAAGGGCTATGTGCATGGCTCCTGTCTAGCAAGCACAAGGCCCTGAGTTTAAACCCAAGTACCCCTCCCCACCAAAAGTGTCAGGGCCTGTAGACTCAGCCCTGAGCTGTGGGGACAGAAAATAAGCAGCGCATCCCTAACTTATACCCCATGGTTCCTGGATCCCATGGGCACTGCACTCTGTACCCATCCTCAAGGGGATCGTTTCTAAGCAGTGCCTCGTCTGTACCCTAAGGCCTTATACCATAGCCCCCAACTTCTGTTCAGGTTCCTGCTGTGTTTTTTGTTTTTTAAGTTATCATCTTTT